TGGCGTTTACAGCTTGCCTGCCATGTGGCGCTTTTCCTCTAAAGCACTAATGAAAAGTTCCTAGAGCTTCCATCTGGGTCTGTTTGTAAATTCTTTTATCTACCAGACTAAAATCCGTGAAAGGCAAGCAAGGAACTCAGGACAGAGAGGGGTGCACCCACACACTGAGACAGTGGGGATGTTCTATCGGGAACTCACCAAGGCCAGCTGGCCTGGGTCTGAAAAAGCATGGGATAAAATCGGACTCGCAGAACATGGTGGACAATGAGGACTACTGAGAACTCAAGAACAATGGCAATGGGTTTTGATCCTACTGCACGTACTGGCTTTATGGGAGCCTAGGCAGTTTGGATGCTCACCTTACTAGACCTGGATGGAGGTGGGTGGTCCTTGGACTTCCCACAGGGCAGGGAACCCTGATTGTTCTTCAGGCTGACGAGGGAGGGGTAGTTGATTGGGGGAGGGGAGGGAAATGGGAGGCGGTGGCGGGGAGGAGACAGAAATCTTAAATAAATAAATAAATAAACAAACAAACAAACAAATAAATAATAAAACCCGTGAAAGGAAACCCCGGGTCGCCCTCGTAACAGATGTGCTAAGCCAGCTGTATTAGTCACCTCCCTATCACTATACCTAACAGAAAAAAATAAAGGGCCAGAAAGATGGCTCGGTACCTAAAATTCTACCTAAACCTGGTGACCTGATTTCAGTTCCCAGAACCCATGGTGAAAGGAGAGAACCAACTCCGGGAAGCTGCTCTCTGATTCTCCGTACACACCATGGCAAGCAGACACCACACTCATTCACACACAATAATTAGTAAACAAGCCAGAGATTTCCTTCCCCTCCACTGGCAGCATAACAGCCCAGTATTGGCCACAACTATTTATGGAAAATGGACTTCACCCTCTTCAGCCCTTAAGATTAAAAGGTACTGCCAGGTGGTGGTGGCACACACCTTTAATCCCAGCACTTGGGAGGAAGAGGCAGGAGGATCTCTGTGAGTTCAAGGCCAGCCTGTTCTATAAGAGCTAGTTTTAGGACAGGCTACAGAACTACAGAGAAACCCTGTCTCGAAAACAAAAAAAAACAAAACAAAACAAAAAAAAAAGATTAATAGATGGGCTGGGTGGTGGTGGTGCACACTCTTAATCCCAGCACTTGAGAGGCAGGCAAATCTCTGTGAGTTTGAGGCCAGCCTGGTCTACAGAGTGAATTCCAGGATAGCCAGAGCTGTGACACAGAGAAACTCTGTCTTGAAACACCAAAGCAGCAAACAAGCAAACAAAAAGATTAAAAGATGAATAGCTACAAGCAGGGTAGGCTATGTAAAGTGCACAATGCTTGATGGCTAAGGCTCGTACAACTGAAAACCAGCACAGCAGGACATCATGTGACTGCTCACTCACATGAAGAAACAAGCCCACCGTAAATTGGCTGGACCCAGCATAGCTGGCCAAGGTGACCCTTAGCCAGTTTTGGCTTCGTTACAGTGCCATTCTCATGTCATTAGCCTTGCATCACTGCCTGCTTCCAGCAGGACTCTGATATGATACCCTTATGTAAGAAAGGGGGGCTTTCATAGTCACCAAAAACAGGCAAATCAATCCACTCGCTAGGTAACACTGGCGGAGCGTCAGCTCTGCCTGCCTCTCCTATAGGGCTCAGATGTTGTCTCCAGTGGTTTTTGTTTTTTGAGACAGAGTTTCTCTGTAGTTTTTTTTTTAGCCTATACTGGAACTAGCTCTTGTAGACCAGGCTGGCCTCAAACTCACAGAGATCTGCCTCCCAAGTGCTGGGATTAAGGTGTGCGCCACTACCACCCCTCTGTCTCCAGTGTTCTTACACACTTTGCTTTTCTTTGAGACAAGGTGTCACTATCTAGCCTTGGCTGGCCTGGAACTCACTATATAAACCAAACTGGCTTCAAAACCACAGAGATCTCCTGAATGCTGAGATTAAAGGTGTGAGGCACCCTGCCTGGCATCAGTATTCTTAACTTCAAGGCTGTGAATGCCAGAGATCAGCTATGTGTAACCTGAGAGATTTACCAACTCAACAGGAATGTTGTTTTATACAAAGTCAAGATAGATCCAAGGCCCTAGGATAGACCGAGATGTTCCTTGGCTTTCAGCTTACAATAATTTCTTCTATGCACAGTCACCATGTTCCACACAGCCAAGATCAGGTTGTCTAGGGTCTTTCAGGCTGCCCTTACACTGGCTGTGTAGCTGAGGATGACTGTGAACTCCGTATTCTCCTGCCCCTACTTCCCCAGTCCTGGGATGGGAGACACCACACCCAGTTTATACAATACTGAAGACTGACCCCAGACCTTGGTGAAGGCAAGACAGGCAGGCACTCTACACCTGAGTTACAGACCAGCCCCAGTACCCTGTTTTGAGATGGAGTGTCACTGTCTTGCTTGGACCATACTTAATCAGCGACTTTTTCACCAGTCTCCTGAGTAGGTGGCCCCATGGGCATGAGTACAGCAGCTCTATGCTTGACCTTGGCAGGATCTTCAATATGGACACAGCTTCTTCAGAGGACTTCAGTTCCCATGATGCATGTGGGTATGGTGGAGCCCGAGGAGAGACAGGCAGATTCTGGGGAGCAAATGAAGCTCCTGGGGTTCCAGGTCAGACCTGTGATTCACGAAGAAAGGTGCCATGTGTGGAAGCTGTCGGCGGTCGAGGGGGTGCAGGGTGGGGGGCTGCTACAGGCAGAGCTTAAATGAAGGCCATTTTTTCTTTTGAAAAAAATATGTGGTTTTTTTAAAAAATGATGTAACATAAAATTTACCCTCTAAACCGGGCAAGGAGGAGGTCGTGGCTGTGATCTCAGGAAATCTCTTAGGAGGTGGAGGCCAAAGAATCAGGGATTAAAGGTCAACCTGCATTACAAGAGAGCCTATATCAAAAAAAAAAAAACAATCAATTAATACTAGTACTAATAAATAGTATAGCAGTAGCACCCTTTGGGAAATGGGGTTACAGCTCTGGTAGAACTCTTGTCCGGAATGTTCAAGGCCCTAAGTTCAGTGCTGAGGACAACCAAAAGTAAAGTCAAATAAAAAGTACCATGTTGTTTTGGGGTGTCTGTTTGCTTGTTTTCCCTTTCCTTCCATCTCTTTTGAGTGAATGTAGCCTGACTGGCCTGGAATGCACTAAGTAGCCCAGGCTGGCCTCACACTCAAAGAGATCTGCCTGCCTCTGCCTCTAGAGTGCTAGAATTAAAGGCGTGCCCAGCCACACCTGGTCTTGTTTTTGAGACAAAGTCTCACGTAATCCAGGCTAGCCTCAAGCTCTTGTAGTCAAGAATAATCTTAACTTTATCCTCTTGTTTCTACTTCCCAGGTGCTAGGATAACAGGTGTCCACCACGCCTAACTTCATACAATCCTTTTTTTTTCTTTTTTTATTAAGAAAAACAAACAGACAAAAAACAGGACCAGGCGGTGGTGGTACACAACTTTGATCCCAATAGAGGCAGGCAGATCTCTGTGAGTTCAAGATCAGCCTGGTCTACAGATCTGGTTTCAGGACACAGAAAAACCCCATCTTGAAGGAAGAAAAAAAAAAAAAGATTTGAGTATACTGAATAATGGTAGCAGGCTAGACAGTAACTAGACAGGGTCTCACTATGGGGCACAGGATGACCTTGAACCCTCCATCCTCCTGCCTTGGCCTACAGAGTGCTGGGATTGAAGGGGTGTCTCACTGTGCTTGGCTGCCTCTATTTCTGAGGTTGAATAACATTCTATTGTGCCTATGGACCACATTCTCTGATCCACTCATCCATCCATGCACATGACTGGTCCCAACACCTCTCGGCTACTATGAATAAGGCTGAACCTCACACACACAGGATCTGGGCTCAAACTGTACTCTGAGATGGGATCACTCCATCATAGAAATACTTTGAGAAATACTGAGCCTACAGGAAGCTCCCAGTCTCTCTCTCTCTCTCTCTCTCTCTCTCTCTCTCTCTCTCTCTCTCTCTCTCTCTCTCTTTCTCTCTGTGTGTCTGTCTGTTTGTCTGTTTGTCTTTGTCTTTCTCTCTCTTTCCCTTTCTTCCTTCCTTTCTGTTTTGTTCTTTCAAGACAGGGCTTCTCTATACAGCCCCACTTGTCCTTGAACTCACTCTGTAGACCAGGCTGGCCTCAAACTCAGATCTATTTCTGCCTTCCAAGAGCTGGGATTAAAGGTGTGCACTACCACCCAGCAGTTCCCAGTTCCTTATCCTAGGATGTGCTCAAGCATGGAATCCCTCTGCCTGCCCAAGAGTATAGGGGTCAACACCAGAGATAAACCCTGCCTGCTCCTCAGGAAGGTCTGGGCTTGGCTCAGGGCACTGCATCCACTGCAGCTGGCATGCTCTGGGCATCACCCTTATGTATGTATACTCGAACACAAGGACAAGGCTCTCCCTGCCTGCCATAATAACATCAGACACAAAGGCCACCACTCAGTGGGGGCATAGCCTCACGTTTCCTAGGCAATTAGGCAATAATCATTCTGAGACTACACACCTTGGTACCCAACTTACTCTTTCAAAATCAGTTGAGCAGACTGACCATGACACTGAGGCCACTCTGTGAACCTTGTTTCTACATCAATGAGGCTCATGGTGTCTGAAGGCCAAATTCAGACCCCACACCCAGGCTGCGTGTTTCCAGCCCCACCCCAGAGCATATCCCAGTCCAGCTGGCTCTCGGGAACAAGAGAAGAAAGCTGAGTGGCCCTCACAGCACAGGACACAGGATCCTCATTCAGTTCCCAGCCTCTCGCCCTTGAGGAGAGTGACCACGCGTCTGCCAGGACTCCTGGCCGGACTATCCTAGCCATGCCACACCCGGCCGCTTCTCTCCAGGCAGCAGGGCAGAAGGGGTGGATCAGGGTGGAGCCTGAGGATTGGGGAGGGGCACTGAGCTTCTCAAGTAAGAGTCATTTAAGTCCTAGCTCCCCATCTACGGCCCTCCCTCCATCAGCCTCAGCCATGCATGGAGCCTGGGTGCTGCTGCTGCTGCTGGGCCTCAGGCTACAGCTCTCCCTTAGTGCCATTCCAGGTAAGCATGCTCCCTAACTGCTTGCCCCCACTCACAAACAGCTTTATGACTGACACCTACCTCTGGTCTCCCCCTTTGACCAGTGGAGGAGAAGAACCCAGCCTTCTGGAACCAAAAGGCAGCCGAGGCCCTGGATGTTGCCAAAAAGCTGAAGCCCATTCAGACGTCAGCCAAGAACCTCATCCTCTTCCTGGGGGACGGTGAGTGTCTGAGGCCTGGCCACCCTGTGGTCCTTGCACTCAGAGCCCTCAAGGGCACTGGGGGGTACAGGAAGGTCTGGGGTTCAGGTCTGACCAGATTCTATTCCTTCAGGGATGGGGGTGCCCACAGTGACAGCCACCAGGATCCTAAAGGGACAGTTGGAAGGCCATCTAGGACCCGAGACACCCCTAGCCATGGACCGTTTCCCATACATGGCTCTGTCCAAGGTGAGTACTCGGACACACCTGGGATGGGGAGAGGGCTGGCAACCAAGACAGTGAGGATGGCCCAGGAAGCAAGGACTAATGTCTACCAGTAGGACACACTGAGAATGTCTCTGTCCCCAGATATACAACGTGGACAGACAGGTCCCAGACAGTGCAGGCACAGGCACTGCCTTTCTCTGCGGGGTCAAAGCCAACTACAAGACCATTGGCGTGAGCGCAGCAGCACGATTCAACCAGTGCAACACCACGTTCGGCAATGAGGTCATCTCAGTGATGTACCGTGCCAAGCAAGCAGGTAAGCTGGTCATGGAAGTACACACCTTTAATCCCAGCATTCAGGAGGCAGAGGCAGGTGGATCTGAGTTCAAGGCCAGCCTGGTCCCGTAGTGATTTCCAGGCTACCTAATGAGGACTTGTGCAACAACAAAGCCAAGAAAGCGAGTGGGTTGGAGCCAGGCGAAGGGGCTAGAGCAGGCTTGGAGCCCTAGGTTGTCCCCCAATTCCTGTTATTCCTAGGAAAGTCTGTGGGAGTGGTGACCACCACGTCGGTGCAGCACGCCTCTCCAGCGGGCACCTACGCACACTCGGTGAACCGTGACTGGTACTCGGATGCAGAAATGTCTGCTTCGGCACTGCAGGAGGGCTGCAAGGACATCTCTGTACAGCTCATCTCCAACATGGACATTGATGTAATCCTTGGTGGGGGCCGAAAGTTTATGTTTCCCAAGGGGACACCAGACCCTGAGTATCCAGACGACAGAGCTAAGTCTGGAAGCAGACTGGATGGACAGAATCTGGTCCAGAAGTGGTTGACGGAGCACAAGGGGGCCCGGTATGTTTGGAACCACACGGAGCTCATTCAGGCATCCCAGGACCCGGCAGTGACACACCTCATGGGTCTCTTTGAGCCTGAACACATGAAATATGGCATCTACCAAGACCCTACCCAGGACCCCTCCCTGGTGGAGATGACAGAGGTGGCCGTGCGCATGCTGAGCAAGAACCCCCGAGGCTTCTACCTCTTTGTGGAAGGGGGCCGCATCGATCATGGCCACCATGAAGGCAGAGCCTACCGTGCACTGACGGAGGCTGTCGTGTTTGACTCGGCCATTGAGAAGGCGGACCAGCTCACCAGCGAGCAGGACACGATGATCCTCGTTACCGCTGACCACTCCCACGTCTTCTCTTTTGGTGGCTACGTACCTCGAGGGAACGCTATCTTTGGGCTGGGGGCCTCCTTCAATGCTCTGGATGGCAAAGCCTTTACCTCCATCCTGTATGGCAACGGCCCTGGCTATAAACTACAGAATGGTGCCCGGGCAGATGTCACTGACGAAGAGAGCCGTGACCCCAAGTACCGGCAGCAGGCGGCTGTACCCCTGTCCTCGGAGACCCACGGCGGGGAGGATGTGGCTGTATTCGCACGTGGTCCACAGGCACACCTGGTGCACGGAGTGCAGGAGCAGAATTACATTGCGCATGTCATGGCCTTTGCAGGCTGCCTGGAGCCCTACACCGACTGCGGCCTGGCGCCCCCTGCTGGTCGGAACGGTGCTGCGAGTCCCAGCACCCTTATGTTCCTGTTGGCAGCTACAGTGCTGGTGGCGGCAGCTGAACTCTGATTACCTGAGCTGACTGGGCTCTGCACCAGTGCCCCACAGCTGGCTCCAGTGACCACGCTAATATTCCCCTCTGGAACTTCTGTCCCTCGAGTTCCCTGAGCCTTGGCTTCAGGTCTCTAATCTCAGACAGCTCTAACTCAGGTCGCCAACCCAACCACTCCACCATGGACTCCCACAGACCTCACTCAGAGTGTACCAGCCTCAGAACTGCAGCACTTCCTCCCAGAGCACCGCAGCCTAACAGGATGCCCACCCCGGGCCAGCTCTTCCTGGTGTTTGTCACTGATCTCAGCGCCCAGAAAATGTGATGTCACACACCCAGCCTGTGCCTGAGAAGAAGGACCATGTAGGCCCTTGATGTCCCCACAGGGCAAGGACTGAGCAGGAATGTGCTGGCCTTTCCTGGCTTCAGTGTCCACAGCTCATCTAGCAGACCCTGGAGAGGCTGACGTAACCAAGATAACCAGTGCCTCTTTGAAGGTTCTCAACTGCCACCACTAGGCCTCGAAATCATGATCCTCCTGCCTCAGCCTCCTGGGTGCTATAATTACACGGATATGTCTCTATATCCCTGGCTTGCACATTAATGTCCAAGCAAAGAATGTGGGCTTCATTCTCCTGGGAGACTTGGCAATAATAAAATGAATTACCTTACAACGTGATGCCTGCAGGGCTCTCCTGTTAGAAAAACCAAGTGTTCAAGCCGAGATGGAATGAGGGAGAGGAGCAGACAGTTGGAGGGGCATTGACAAATGGGGGCATGAACAACACAGGAGGCCCTGGACACGTGCGGGATGAGTGGTGGCTTGCCCCTTCCACCTGGCAGTGAGCTTAGGGTTTGCAATGGTCAAACAGGTTAGCTACAGACAGCTCAATCCTTGCCTAAGGCTCCACCCCTTAGTCACCTATAGCCGTAGGGCAGGGGCTCTACAGAGCAGGTAATGTACCTGGGCCAAAGTAGGCAAAGCTTATCCTGAAGTATCCAAAGCCCCACACACACAGAAGACCATGTTCCTTGTTCTAACTAGGAAGGACTCATGGATCGTGGCCAGTACAGTTTTCCACCTCACTGTAAGCAGGCCACTCCAGACTCACAGGGAGTTGGCCTAGACTGGACTCAGATGGCAGATCAGCAAAGACTAGTAGGCTCACTCCAAAGTGGTCAGGGAAGATAGTTGTGGTCACACCTGCCCTGGAAAATGTCTAGACTCTCCACCTCACCATTCTAGGAGACAAGGGCAGTTCAGGAGCACCCCAGGCTCCCATGGGGCAGCCGTGAGCACCAACGCGTAACCCAAGGATCTGGATTTATCCTCTGGAGCCTGCATCCTGCAGAGATAGAATTCGAAGATCACCAAATGAAGAATTCTAGGATGTTGATGGCAGGGCCCTGAGGCAAGGAGCCAGGACAGCAGGAGTGGGTGACCTGCAACCTTAACTATGGAGTGAGGAGGTTGAGCTGGGATATCTGCAGGTGCTCCGCAGCTAGCAGCACCTCCTCCTCCTCAGAGAAGTCCTCCTGGAAGAACTGGTCCAGCGGCCGCTTGGTCACATGGTGGGGGGGGGGCGATCAGAGAAGCAGCAAGAACACAGCAGAGCCCAGATGCTCTAGCCCTGGAGAAGACACCTCCCATATCCTCTTCTGCCCCCCAGGCCAAGGAGACCCTGCAGGGTGCTGAGCATCCTTAGCTGCCCCGGTATCACTGATGTACAGAGGGTCTGTTCTCCACGACAAGGCGATCCTGGAGTGGAAAGCAGCCTGGCCCCACCCTGCTCTAGCACCCTCCAGCAATCCCCTAGCCCCAGCTGCTCACATTAGCCAGTAGTCAGCGGGGCCTCCAGCCACAGGATCTAGCTCCTGAGCCTTCTGCTCCTTAGTGCTGGTCCTCAGCAGGCTGAGCAGATGGCCCGTGAACACCCTGTAGGTGCCAAGCCCTACACTGGGACAGGCTCCCAGGGGCATAGACGGAGGGACTCGGTTAATGGGACACCCAACGGACATACAGTAAAAGTGTACCCCTGGGGTCCATCCTTCCCTGCAACCTCATCCATCCCCAGCCCAGACACCTCCTTGACAGAGTGATTGTCCTTGTTAGGTTTTTTTTTTTTTTTTTGTGGTGGGGAGGGGGGGTAGACAAGAATCTAGGGCAGAGATCAACTTTCAGATTCTAGAAAACTTTCCAGACATTCATTGCCACAGCTTCAGGAACACAGTTATAATCCATCTAACCAAGAAGTGGCAGGAGTCCCATCCACTCCAGTTCATCCAGCATAAGGAGGGGAGAGCTTCCTTCCACCCTTCAGCCCTTCTTTCGTCATCCTTCACTGTCCCCACAGGTGGTGACACCACAGGGCACTGTACTGGGAGCTAGGGCCTTTGTAATTCCTGGCCACTCTAGCTCCCTGCCCAGCTGAGGGCTGGGAACTTAGGATCCTACAGTGTCTCTACCCACTGTAATTATTCAGGGAAATTGCTTGATCCCCCTTCCCACCGTCTGCTCCTGCCTGTAGGGTGCTGCTTCAAGGAGGACACACATGCAGATGATGCAGCAAGGGGCTTCTGTTGTCCAGGCTCTCTGTGAGCTGGAAGAGGTTGATTTGCCCCCCAGGAGGTGTGCACAGCTGGCCACCATGTGCAAGTGCATGCAGCCATGACCGCAGTCTGGCTGGCCGTGTTCAAACGCATTGCTGTCGCTACTGCCTGCCTCTGTCCCTTCTTCCCAGGTGCCTTTGGTACCAGTAAAAAGGTTACAGAGCCCACCTCTGCTCTTCCGGTATGACCAACCAAGACACCAAGCCTTTGGCACAATAAAGACTCTGCATTCCATGGCTGCAAACTACAGTGAGTTCCAGGAGGACAAGTACGTGAGCCAGTGTGGCATCTGGGGAGCCCAAGGGACCTTGCTGTCTCTGCTCCAGAGCTGACACAAAGGTGCTCGCTGGTGTCCCTCACCTGAGCCCAGTGCAGCAGGTTCCCGAATGCAAAGCCTTCAGGTTGCTCTTTCCTATCGATCAACATGGCATTGATTGATCCATCTACTGGTGCCAAGACATCTCGCTCATGTGTTGGGGCTTGCTGCAAGACCAATCCATCCCTGCTACGAGCTTGCCTACAGCATCGTCAAGGTGAGCTGGCACTAAGTCACTAGTGTTAGTGTGGCCCACCTCCGTCCCCACCCAAAGACCACCCTCCCAGATGCTTTAAGCAAACAAGTCCTACAGACCGACATTGTGTACCAGTTGATTTATTGTGCCCAGGAGACTGGAGGGCCCAGGAAGATGATGTCAGACACAGCAGGGGGCACCTCTAATTCCCAATATGGAGGACTAGGCATGGCCCTGTCTCAAACGCTGGAGAGGAAAATGACAGGTGCAGGCCCAGTGGATCAAGGAAGAAGCCACCAAGTGCTGCTGCCATACTGGGGGGTAGGGGACAAGGCTCTCCATGTGCCAGGCCTCTTAAAGGAGCCTGGATAGAGGGAGGTGGCCTAATGATGGCCGTGTCAAGGCTTAGCTGGACCCATTATTCAAGGTGCAGAAGCCCACTGAGTCTGGCAATGGGGCTGTCCAGTGCTGGTGACTCAGACACAAGGTCCTGGTTGAGCCGTGGCTGCCTGCTGCTTCTACCATGGTCAATAGGTACTGGAGCTAGTCTTGTCTCAGTCTTCAAGGCAGGGGAGTGCTTCATGTCTGAGGCTGGGTTAACACTCCCTGAGGTCTGATGGAGCCTTAGGTGGGGTTGCGGCTTGGCAACCCGAGTTATATTAGAAACCTGGAAGTAGGGAACAAAACCAGAGGGACAGGTGGAGCCCAGGAAACTGTACTGGAGTACAGTGAGCTTAGATAGTCAGGGTTCAGCTGCCACTGCTATCGTCAACATCGTCCCTGCCAACAGGAGCATCAGGGTAGAGGTCTGGCCCCGACTAGCAGCACCGTTCCGGCCAGCAGGGGGCGCCAGGCCGCAGTCGGTGTAGGGCTCCAGGCAGCCTGCAAAGGCCATGACGTGCGCAATGTAATTCTGCTCCTGAACTCCGTGCACCAGGTGTGCCTGCGGACCACGCGCGAATATCGCCACGTCTTCACCGCTATGGGTCTCGCCATACAAGGGCACAGCCGCCTGCTGCTGGTACGTGGGGTTGCCTGCAAAGAAGGGATGTCCTGAGCAGTGGCTTCCACCTCTATGAAGCTCTTAGCCCCGGCTCCATGTTGACAACCCCACTGAACTTACTGCTCTCTTCCTCAGTGACATCAGCCCGGACACCATTAAGAAGTATATAGCCAGGACCATTGCCATACAGGATGGAGGTAAAGGCTTTGCCATCCAGAGCATTGAAGGAGGCCCCCAGCCCAAAGATAGCGTTCCCTCGAGGTACGTAGCCACCAAAAGAGAAGACGTGGGAGTGGTCAGCGGTAACGAGGATCATCGTGTCCTGCTCGCTGGTGAGCTGGTCCGCCTTCTCAATGGCCGAGTCGAACACGACAGCCTCCGTCAGTGCACGGTAGGCTCTGCCTTCATGGTGGCCATGATCGATGCGGCCCCCTGCAGGAAACCCGTGGCGGGGAGATGCTTGAGTCTGCCCTAGACTCCTGTCTCCTCCCTCCTCCTTTCTGCCAGGCCCAGCCACTCACCTTCCACAAAGAGGTAGAAGCCTCGGGGGTTCCTGCTCAGCATGCGCACGGCCACCTCTGTCATCTCCACCAGGGAGGGGTCCTGGGTAGGGTCTTGGTAGATGCCATATTTCATGTGTTCAGGCTCAAAGAGACCTGAAGAAGAAAATCCATGGTTGAGCTGGGTGGTGGTGCACACCTTTAATCCCAGCACTCGGGAGGCAGAGGCAGGCAGATCTCTGTGTGTTCCAGGACAGCTAGTGCTGTTACACATAGAAACCCTGTCTCAAAAAACAAAAACACTGCATTGAGCTTGCAGTCTCCCATGGAGGCATGGGTTCGAAAATCACTCCTGACATCAAAAAGAAAAAAAGAAAAAGAAAAACAAAATAAAGGTAGGAAGGAAGGAAGGAAAGAAGAGAAGGAAGAAAACCCATGGTGAATACCAGAGTAAGTAGTAGGGACATTATTAACACCCCCCCTCCACACAACTGCCCAGGTGATGGGGATGTATGTGTGCTCATGCACACACACACACACACACACACACACACACACACACACACAATTCCCTAATGGAAGGGTTCCATAGCAAGAAACAGGAGTTATTACCCATGAGGTGTGTCACAGATGGGTCGAGGGATGCCTGAATGAGCTCCGTGTGGTTCCAAACATACCGGGCCCCCTGCAAGGACACAGCCAGTCTCCTAAGTACATACCTTCAAATACACAGCCCTCACTAGTTCCTGCTATGCCCTTTGCCCTAGAGGCCCCAATACCTGGTGCTTTGCCAGCCACTCTTGAACAAGGTTCCGTCCATCCAGCCTGGTTCCAGCCTGGCCAGTGTTAGTTGGATATTCCTGGTCTGGTGTTCCCTTGGGAAACATGAATTTGCGGCCACCACCAAGGATCACCTATAATCAGGAGAACTTGGGACCTAAGTGATCTTCTATTTCTTATTGATAGCACCTGGTCCCAACAGGTCTGAAAGAAGAGACTCTCTTGGCTGCGCCTTCTCTACCCATTCTCGACCAACCCCTCAACTACCCTATCAGAACTCAGAGTGTGGACTGTATAGTCTTCAGTGAGTGACAACCTTGCTCCAGCCCCGCCCCCACTCCTGGAACTCACATCAATGTCCATGTTGGAGATGAGCTGTACAGAGATGTCCTTGCAGCCCTCCTGCAGTGCCGAAGCAGACATTTCTGCATCCGAGTACCAACCTCGGTTCACCGTGTGTGCGTAGGTGCCGGCTGGAGAGGCATGCTGCACCGATGTGGTGGTCACCACTCCCACAGACTTTCCTGCAGAAGAGGTCAGGTGAGCCACCCAGGACCCCAGCCCGCCCATGTCCGTCCTCAAGCCTTGTATCAACCCACCTGCTTTCTTAGCACGATGCATCACGGAGATGACCTCATTGCCCCATGTTGTGTTGCACTGGTCAAACTGTGCACTGGCACTCAGGCCAATGACCTTGAAATTCGTTTTGACCCCGCAGAGAAAGGCAGTGGCTGTGCCTGCGCTGTCTGGGACCTGCACGTCTGTGTTGTAAGTCTAGGGAGAGGTATTCTCAGCTCAGCTCTGCTAGACTTTCTGGGACTTGTCCCCACTGCTCCAGGTCTGCATTCTTCCCAGCCTCCTCCCTCCTGTACCAGCTCTTGCCATCCCTTGTGGGGACCCGGGTGCTTCCAAGCTCACCTTGGACAGAGCTGTGTATGGGAAGCGGTCCATGGCTAGGGGTGTCTCGGGTCCCAGATGGTTTTCCAGCTGTCCCTTTAGGATCCGAGTGGCTGTCACTGTGGACACCCCCATTCCTAAAGGAGAACTCAAATCTTAACCCCCAGGCCCGCCTAGACCCACTAGCGGTCTTAGGTTCCTGAAGTTCAGGGGCTCCAGGGTGGCCAGGCCTCAGACACTCACCGTCCCCCAGGAAGAGGATGAGGTTCTTGGCTGACGTCTGAATGGGCTGCAGCTTCTTGGCAGCATCCAGGGCCTCGGCTGCCTTTTGGTTCCAGAAGGCTGGGTTCTCCTCCTCCACTGACCAAGAAAAGAGCAGAAGGGTCAGAAGGGCCCATGAGTGTGAAGGGAGCAGGCACCCGCAGGAGTGCCTCAATACCTGGGATGACACTAAAGGACAGCTGGGACCCGACGGCCAGCAGCAACATGCAGGCTCCCCACATGGCTGGGGCTGGATGCTGGTAGTTCTGAGGTTCGTGCAAGGAGAACCTGGAAGACCAGAATGCTAGCTGAGGCTCTGACTGCCTCGCCTTAAATAGAGGAAGACTTACTTCCTGTTTGAAAGGCTCAGAGACCAAGCTTTGAAGAGGTGGCACACGCCTTTAATCCCAGCACTTGGGAGGCAGAGGCAAGCGGATCTCTGTAAAGTTTGATACTGTAAGACTTTAAGACAATCCTGAAGCCATTTTTGACAATTCTGAATCCTCTCAGCCTCTGTGCCATAGTGCTTCCCCTCCTCCCCTGGGAACCAAGGACCTAACAGCTACACTCGCACGTACTCAGTTCTTGAACAATTACCCATATACGTATGCTTTGGTTCGGTCCCCTGGGAAACGGGGTCAAAATGACCTCTTACCTCATCTGATCTGGCAACCTCTCCAGTCAATTATTGGTAATAGCCCTTTCAAATAAGCCAATCAGAATAGCCAAAGAACAATCCCCCTTGCTTCTGTGGCCCCTTTAAAAGTAGACTGTACCCGCTATT